CCCCCCCCCTTCTTCTTTGGGGGGCGGCCACCCCTCAAATATTGGAAGGCTGCTGTCACGTCCCTCTTTTTCGTTCGACTGGACATCCCCCCCAATTCCTGCAACCGTCCGTCGCATATTTTATCCTCCGCTCGCCCTGATCACCTTCGTTGCTCTTCTCTGGACTCTTTCGAGAGTCTTCACCTCTTATATTGTGGCAACCAATGGGGAGGGACCTTGGAGGTCATCTAGTCCAAACTCCTGCCCAAGTCAGAGAACCCAAGACCCTTTCAGACAAAGGGCTGTCAATCTCTTGTTAAAAACTTCCAGGGATGGAACACCCACAAATTCTCATTGTCAGGAAATTCCTTAGTTCCCTCCTTGATTCGGTAGCGGGTCCCTTATCAGTAACTAAGTTTAAACATGCTTAGGATAAACAGGTTTATTATAAAACCTCTTTAACTTCCCTTCTCTCTAATAGGGGTTTTTTTGAGGGGTAGTGCTACCATGCAATCAGTATAATAAAACATTGGAATAATTTAAGATTGAAAATTTAAAAAGCTAAGAACCTTATAAAATTGCAAAAATGTGGAGAGTTCCGACAAAAAATTAAAATAAAAAAATAATATCATTAAACAAAACAAAACATCTGAAATGTCAGATTTGATTAACCTCTAGGTCTTTTTTCTGCCATCAGTTTTCTGTGTTTCTAGTATAGAGGCAGCTGCTTGAATAAAGTTGATTTTTGCTCATCAAAATTCCCAGATCCGTGTGCCACCTCCTGGGTCAAAATATTGCAGATTTTTTTTTTCTTTCTTGGTGAGATCTTCCTGTTCTCCATGGAAGTTATTTGAGCAAGAATCCTTGCAATTGTTTCTCACACAAACAAATGCACCCAACCTGCCACCCAGAGAAAAAGACACAAAAGAGACGGAGCCATTGTCAGAAAAAAAATCACTGGGGGAATTATAACTCGCCTATCTGCAGCTGGGCTGGGCACATCTGTACTATTGTTTTCCAGAACAGAAACTTAATTCTTTTCTTTTGTCTTTGCTGATGAAGAATGCAAAGATGCAGGAAGTGAAGGAACCAAAAATCAACTCCCAGAAAATAATATTTAGCGTTTCTCGTTGCAACAGTCTGGGAATACTTGTTCGGGTAGTCCTCGACTTATGGTCTCAGTTGATACCCGCAAGCCCGTTGCGGAGCAAGGCGATGTTTAAACGAATCGTCTGATTTTGACCGCCTTTTTGACACGAATCGTTGCAGTTGTTAAGTTCGGAAAGACGGGTTCTTAAGTGAATCGGGCTTAACCCGTTTCTTGTTCAGAAGGTCGCAAAAGGGCATATTGGAAAACGGTCATAAAGATGAGTCGTTGGCCAAGGGTCCGGGCTTTGATCACATGACCGTGGGGTTGGCCAGGTCGCGTTTTTTTTTTTTTTTCCAGCGATGCGACTTCGAACAGTCACTAAATGAACTGTTGTAAGTTGAGCCAGTAGCAATTAAAAAGAGGCAGGACACGAAGCAATGGGTGGACACTAACCAAGGAGAGGAGCAACTTAGAAGGAAGGAGGCATTTCCTGACAGTTAGAACAATTAATCCGTGTCACAGTTTGCCACCAGAAGGTGTGAATCCTCCAACGCTCAAAGTTTTTACGAAGAGATTGGACAGCCATTTGTCTGAAGTGGGGTAGGGTTTTCTGCCTAAGCAGAGGGTTGGACTAGAAGACCTCTAAGGTCCCTTCCAACTTTGCTATTCTATTCTATTTGCATTAAATGTTGAAGCTTGAGAAGGGGGTTGGACTAGAAGACCTCCAAGGTCCCTTCCAGCTTTGCTATTTTATTCTATTTGCATTAAATGTTGAAGCTTTTAGAAGGGGGTTGGACTAGAAGACCTCCAGGGTCCCTTCCAACTTTGTTATTCTATTCTATTTGCATTAAATGTTGAAGCTTGAGAAGGGGGTTGGACTAGAAGACCTCCAAGGCCCCTTCCAACTGTGTTATCCTATTCAATCCTATTCTAGTATTGAGTTACTAAAGAGGAAGGGGAGGTTTTTTTGGGGGGGGGGCCACCAGGCCTTTGTCCTGATCTTCTCCCCCCCTTTCTCGTTCCCCAACCCCCAGATGTCTCCCCCATCGTGGCCGGCCTCATCGGGGCCACCGTCTTGGTGGTCTCCGTCTCGATGACGGTCTTCTTGTGGACCTGTTGCCACCATCAGCTGGAGAGGAAGCAGAAGAGCCCGCCGTACAAGTTCATCCACATGCTGAAAGGCATCAGCATCTACCCGGAGACCCTGAGCAACAAGAAGAAAATCCTGCGCGTCCGGAGGGACAAGAAGGGCGTGGCCAGGAAAGACGGGGACCTCCTGGCGGACGCGGCCGAAGCGGGCTTGGCGGGCTCCGGAACAGGGTTGGGCGCGGCGGCTTCTTCCGTCAACCAGCTCCCGGTCAAAGTAGAGTACGGAGAAGAACCGAGTCCTCAGCAGAGCTTGACGCCGGCGGGCAGCAAGGCGTCGTCGTTGTCTTCTCCGGAAGAAGACATCGCGTTGGGGACTCTGACCTTCTCGGTGGATTACAACTTCCCCAAGAAAGCCCTGGTGGTGACCATCCAGGAAGCCCACGGATTGCCGGTCATGGATGAGCAGAACCAAGGCTCGGACCCGTACATCAAGATGACCATCCTGCCGGACAAGAGGCACCGGGTGAAGACACGGGTTCTCCGGAAGACCTTGGACCCGGTCTTCGACGAGACCTTCACCTTCTACGGCATCCCTTACAGCCAGCTCCAGGATTTGGTCCTCCACTTCCTGGTGCTCAGCTTCGACCGTTTTTCTCGGGACGACGTCATCGGGGAGGTGATGGTACCGCTGGCGGGGGTGGACCCCAGCACCGGGAAAGTCCATCTGACCAGGGAGATCATCAAGAGGAACATACAGGTAGGGTTGGACTTGGGGGGGGGTTAAAGTTTGGGCAACGGGGTTCTCAGCTGTTCTGCTGGGAGATTTAGATTAGCCAGAAAGCAGGAAATGGTTGGGTTTCTTGCTTTCTAGCTAATCTAAAAGCAGAGCTGAACCTTCCTTAGGACCGAAGCTTTTATTTTTTTTCAGTGCAGACTCAGGCAGCAGATGGCAGAAAGGTAGATCTCTGAGTGAATCTGTGATTCTGTGGACGAGGCAATCTGCTTCCTTTGTCTGATTTTGGGTAAAAAGTTGCTCTTTTTTTAAAAAAATAAAAAATTAAACGTTCACATATTTACAATATTTACATACATGTGGAATGTTGGGCTCAGTGGCGGTTGTAAGTCGAGGACGGCCTGTAGTCTCTGCTCCAAGCAGGGTGTTAAGCATCAGAGCAAAGATGAGCGCTTTTGAGTGGGCAACCACCGTATGGAGAAATGTGGGACGGAGGATCAAGACCTGTTAGCCAGCGCGGTTCTCACCGATCGATCCAAATTACGTCGTGGTGTCATTAAAGATGCATTAGGGTTTTTGATGGATGGCATTTCCAGGGGTGGAGCCGAGTTAGAATCTCTGAAGAACTGCAGCTACGGTAACGCTGCGCTATTATCGTGTCCTCCAATTAAATTGGATGGATGGAGAGATTAAATAGATGATAGATAGATAGACAGACAGACAGACATAGAGATATAGATGATAGATAGATGTAAGGATGGATATAGATAGACGATAGATATAGAGATCGATGGATGATAGATGTAGAGATAGAGACAGACAAGATAGATGTAGACATAGATGATAGATGTGGATATAGATTAGACAGACAGATAAGATAAACAGACAGATGTAGAGATTAGATGATAGATGTAGAGATATATATTATCTGTCT